CTGGGTCGTGGTCTCGTTTTTTCTTACCCTGGTTCGTTTTCTCGTTTTCTCTTACCCTGGGTCGTGGTCGCGTTTTGTCTGGCCCTGGTTCGTGTTCTCGTTTCTTGCTCTCTCGGCGCCTGGGTCGTGCTCCAGTTTTCTCGGACCCTGTTTCGTTTTCTGATTGTCTAATTTCCTCGGCCCCTGGGTCGCGGTTTCGTTTTCTCGGAAGTTGGTTTGTTTTCTCGCTGCCTCGTTTTCTCGGCCCCTGGTTCGTAGTCTCGTTTTCTCGGGCCCTTATTCCTTTTTTCCGTTTTCTCGTTTTCTCGGCCCTTGGGTCGTGGTCTCGTTCTCTAGGACCGATATTAGCGTTTTCTCGTCCTGGGTCATGGTTTCGTTTGTTCGGACCTTCGTTTGTTTTATTGTTTTCTCGTGTTCTCGGCCCCTGGGTCGTTATCGTGTTTTCTCGGACCCTGGTTCATTGTCTCCTTTTCTCGTTTCTTGGCTTCTGGATGTTTGTTTTGTTTTCTCGGGCCCTGGTTCGTTGTCTCGTTTTTCTAGTTTTCTCGGCCCTTGGGTTGTCATCTCGTTTTCTTGTGCCCTTGTTCGTTTTCTCGTTATCTCGTTTTCTCGGCCCCTGGGTCGTGGTTTCGTTTTTTCGGGCACGGGTTTGTTTTCTCGTTGTCTCGGCTCCTGGGTCGTGGTCGCGTTTTCTCGGACCCTGTCTCGTTTTTCGGGACCCTGGTTCGTTTTCTCGTTTTCTCGGTCCCTGGGCCGTGGTCTCGTTTTCTCGGACCCTGCTTCGTTTCCTCGTTTTCTCAGCCTCTGGGTCGTGGTCTCGTTTTCTTTGACCCTGGGTCGTTGTCGTCGGTCGCGCGTCGTCCGTCGTCCGTCGCCGTCTTCGTATGACCTCGTCCTCGTCGTGACGACCACGACGAGGTCATGCGAAGACGGCGACAATGACGGCGACGGCGGCGACAACGACGACGAGGACGACGACGGTGTCGTACGAAGACGTCGAGCGACGGCGACGGCAACGACGACGGCGACAGGGGAGGATCGTCCGGCAGGGGGAGTTCAAGGGGGGAGGTGGTAGCTTCCAGCAGGGGGGGGTCAAAGGGGGGGGGGGGTAGCTAAGCCCTTTGGAAAGTGGGGGAGGGGGGGAGCTTCCGGAGCGGCAAAGGGGAGACGGGGGTAGCTTCCGGGGGGGGAACAAGAAAAAAGGGGAGGGGGGAGGGGTCCGGCAGAGGGGGGCCAAAGGGGGGAGGGTAGCTAAGCCCCCCCCTCCTTTGGAAAGGGGAGGGAGGGGGGGGGGGGGGGGGGTAGGGGGGGCGAAACAGGGAGAAGGGGGGAGGGGGGGGGGGGGGGGGGGGGAGACCCCCCCCCTTGCTCCGTCACTGTGGGCACGCTCTCTCCAACATGTTGACGGTCGGGCGTTGCGTAATGGGGGGGGGCGACAACTGGGGGGGCGAGGAAAGGTGAACCTTTTGTGCCCGAAATGGGGCCTGAAGGGAGCCCCTGGGCCCCAAAAGGAGAACGAAAGGTGCACGCTTACTCCCCCCACTTATCGCCCCACTCCTCCCCCTCCTCCTCCTCCTCCTCCTCCTCCTCCTCCTCCTCCTCCTCCTCCTCTTCCTCCTCCTCCTCCTCCTCCTCCTCCTCCTCCTCCTCCTCGTCCTCCTCCTCCTCCTCCTCCTCCTCCTCCTGCTAAGCAACGCCCAACTCGGACATCTGGGTGAATCCAGGACCTCGAGGCGAATCCAGCAGTGGCGGCGAGGGGCGGGGAGCGGGAGCGGTAGGCTCCCATCGGAGATCTCAGGGAAAAACAACAACTTCTGTGGGTGTCAGCTCCTCTCTCCTCCTCCTCCTCCTCCTCCTCCTCCTCCTCCTCCTCCTCCTCCTCCTCCTCCTCCTCCTCCTCCTCCTCCCCCTCCTCCTTCCCCTCCTCCTCCTCCTCCTCCTGGGCGTTTTCTCGGAGCTTCCTTCTGTCCTCAGAACTTTCGTCCGCCTGGCCCTGGACTGCTGCTTCAGAGCACGTTGCGAGCGATGCCTACTTGCTTAGCGTCCCGATGTCTTAACTCTGAGCAGGGGTGTAGCTTCTTCATACGAGTTTGCGAACGCAGGCATTGTGCTCGCATGTTCCCCGCGCCGCCCCCAATCTGCGACCAAATGCGACCCCCTCCCCTGCTGGCCCCAATCGACGAGGTGGTATCGGACACCCCCGCTGAGGCCCACCTGGCTGCAGACCTCCCTCGAGTTCTGAACCCCAGCCGGCGTCTCAGCAATCGGACCTGCTCGGGACCCGAGAGACGGGGGTCAATGCAAACGGGGGCCAGCCAGAGCGCCAGACCCTGCAGGATCCTGCAGAGCCAGGGCTGCACTGACCGGGACTTGGTTGCAGGATGCTGCCGGATCCTGCGGGGCCTGGACTGACCCGGGCCTGGACCGACCTGGGCCAGCAGATCCCCGCCCTGCCGGGGGAGAGGTTCACATGCGGTTGCCTGCCGCATGGCCCGGCCCCGGCAGGCGAGGCGCGCGCGCGCCGCCGCCCTCGCGGCGGCGCCGCCGCTCCTGCTGCTCCTCGGCGCCAGCCTGGCCTTCGCGGCCAGGCCCTCTACGGGGCGGCGCCCCTCGGGGCCGCCAGCCCCCTCGGCCTGGTCGGGCTCCGCGCTGGGACCGTCCTGGGGGTCAAAGTTCGGGGAGGCGTCAGGTTCGAGTTCCCCTGAGCTCAGGTTCGCAGGCGCTTTTTGACGGGCCTGGCCTGGGATTTGACGGTCCAGTTTTCGTGAAGCCGGGAGCGCGCGTCAAATTTCAGCGTGGGTATCGTCATTTTCTCGACGGCTCCGTCAGGCCAGCCCGAGCCCCCCGAGCTGGACCTCACGTCTCCACGAAAAGGAAGGGCAGGAAGTGGATCAACTTCCCCCGATTGGATTTGCTCCATCCGCGGCCCCAGAGGTTCCGACTCCCTCCCCGGGGCCAGTCTGTCAGAAAGAGCGCCGTGCTCGCAGAACCCCGCCCCCCCTTCAAAGGGAATCGGAGAATTTCGGACCCCCCCCTCCCCTAAAAAAAAGAAGGGGGGGGCTTTCGCCCCCCCCCCCCCACCCCCCCACTTTGAAAGGGGGGGTCGGGACACCCTGCCCTCCCCCCTTTGCGATGGAAGTGTGTGTGTGTGTGTCTGTGTGTGTGTGTGTGTCTGTGTGTGTGTGTGTCTGTGTGTCTGTGTGTGTCTGTGTGTCTGTGTCTCTGTGTGTCTGTGTGTCTGTGTGTGTGTGTCTCTGTGTCTCTGTGTCTCTGTGTCTCTGTGTCTCTGTGTCTCTGTGTCTCTGTGTCTCTGTGTCTCTGTGTCTCTGTGTCTCTGTGTCTCTGTGTCTCTGTGTCTCTGTGTCTCTGTGTCTCTGTGTCTCTGTGTCTCTGTGTCTCTGTGTCTCTGTGTCTCTGTGTCTCTGTGTCTCTGTGTCTCTGTGTCTCTGTGTCTCTGTGTCTCTGTGTCTCTGTGTCTCTGTGTCTCTGTGTCTCTGTGTCTCTGTGTCTCTGTGTCTCTGTGTCTCTGTGTCTCTGTGTCTCTGTGTCTCTGTGTCTCTGTGTCTCTGTGTCTCTGTGTCTCTGTGTCTCTGTGTCTCTGTGTCTCTGTGTCTCTGTGTCTCTGTGTCTCTGTGTCTCTGTGTCTGTGTCTCTGTGTCTCTGTGTCTCTGTGTCTCTGTGTCTCTGTGTCTCTGTGTCTCTGTGTCTCTGTGTCTCTGTGTCTCTCTCTCTCTGTGTCTCTGTGTCTCTGTGTCTCTGTGTCTCTGTGTCTGTGTCTCTGTCTCTGTGTGTCTGTGTGTCTGTGTGTCTGTGTGTCTCTCTCTGTGTCTCTGTGTCTGTGTGTCTGTGTGTCTGTGTGTCTGTGTGTCTGTGTGTCTGTGTGTCTGTGTCTGTGTCTGTGTCTGTGTCTGTGTCTGTGGGTGGGTGGGTGGGTGGGTGGGTGTGTGTGTGTAGGGGGGGGGGGGGCGTTTTCGGACCCCCCCCTCTTCCCGCTTGCGCCGGACAGGGGACCGGGAAGGAAGCTTCTCCCGCTTCTCTTTTCTGCGCCCGAGAAGGTGGGATGAGGGTTAGGGTTTTGAGTTTCGGGTCAGGGTTGAGGCTAGGGTTTAGGGGTAGGGCTTGGGGGTTAGGTTCAGGGGTTAGGGTTAGGGTTAGGGTCGGGGTCAGGGTTAGGGTTTAGGGCTTAGGGCTTGTAGTGGTTAGGGTTAGGGGTTAACGTATAGGGTTAGTGGTTAGGGTCAGGTTTATGGGTTTGGGTAGGGGTCAGGGTTAGGGTTTAGGTTTAGGGTTTAGGGCTCGTAGTGGTTTGGGTTGGGGGTTTAGGGGTTAAGGGTAAGGTTCGGGTTAAGGTTACGGGTATCGGGTCCAGGTTATGGGGTTAGGGGCAGGGGTTCGGGTTAGGGATTAGGGGTGGGTTTTCGGGTTTGGGGTTACGGGTTAGGGTTAGGGTTAAAGGTTAGGGCTCGGGTCCACTAGCCTCTATTCGAAATCCGCTGGACGTATCCCACCCACCCATGACCCATGACATACAGAACTTCACGCGTCAATGACGTCAGCGCGATGCGTCATGCGCAGTACTTACGCAGCGCCTCAACCCGATGCAGCAGCTGTATGAACGGAGATCTCACGCGCCGTCACTCGTGGGTCTGCATCGTTCGCTGCATCGCCCCAAGTGGCCATTCCCTCGGCGGGTCTCAGTGGAAGGATGCGCTGGGGGCCTCGCAGAGGCGCTGCGGAAGCGGGCGCGTAAGCAAGGCGCAAAGCGCGGGGATGTGTTCCTATGCCATTATGGTACCAGGGCAGCTGGAGCGCAGGTCTGGCGCGCCAGTCCCGCACCACCAACTCTTGGTCGGTCGAGGATGCAACGGCGTTGCGGCGCACGAGTGACAGGAGCACGTCTTTGAGATACTCCAGTGGCTGGGCCGCAGCGCATGGGCGATGCATCGCCTCGGCCGGTCTGTGGGGGCTGGCGCGGGAGTGCGATGAGCCACCGGCTTCCACACGCATTGGCGATGCATGGGCCGGCTTAGCGCGTGACCAGGGCGTAGCGCTTCGCGACGTCCGCGGACTTTGGTTCGAGTGTTTTCGCGCCCGACCGGACCTCGACCGCCTGCGCGCCGCTTGCCGCTAGCGCCTTGCTGCCATGGCCGAGGGTTCCGACGCGGCCGGCCTGTTCTTGGGCACCCATCCACGCGCCGCCGCTGGCGGCGCCGATTCAAAGAAGCGGCGCTTCGAGCCGCCCGCGGCGGAGGAGGAGGAGGGGCGCGAGAAACTCCGTCGTGCTGACCACGCCTATTTCGCGCTGCTCGACCACGAGGGGGAGTCCGTGATCGACGCGGCGAGCGGCGCAGAGAACGAGGGCCGTTTGCATGGGCGGTGGCGCGTAGTTTTCGGGAGTGCGGCCGCACGTAAGGTCCCTCCTTCTCCACGCGGCGTGCCGCGTAAGAGGCCCGCGTGGGCCACCGCGCGTGACCGCCGCCGTCCTCGCACGCGCGCCCCCTGGTTTTTGCGTCGCCGAGGTGCCGCTCGATAAGCTCTGGGAAGCGGCAGCGCAGGAGGGCCAGTGGGCGAAGACCCACACGAACTTGGCACGGGTTTCCGAGTACTGCGTGGGCGTCGGCGTCAGCCAGACGTCACAGGTCCTCGCCGTCGCCATCCGGAAGCTCCAGTCCGACTCCAACGTGCGGGCGGTCTTGCTGAAGGAGACCCACACGAAGGCCACGGCAGAGGCGACGGCCCTGCTACATCACTTGGACTTGCTCCACCGCAGGAAGGGCTCGGAGGAGCCTTACGGCGGCGAGGCAAAGGGCGTCAGCTTCGCGAAGCTGAAGGCGCCCGTGCCCCCGCGCAGCGCGCCGGCGGGAGCGCTGGCGCGAGCGGCAGCGGCGGCGCCGCCGCCGGCGCGGCAGCCCCTACGAAGCCCGAGGAGGTGGTGGCGGCCGCCAAGGCGCTGCACGCGTGGCTGTGGCGACCCCGGTCCGCGCTGCGCCGCCTCCCGAGCATCCTCGCAGGCGGGGGCGCGCATTGGACGGCGTACGCCCCCGAGAAGGTTGCCAGGGCTGGGGTCCACCACCATCCCATCGACGAGAAGGCTTTCGGGAACGCGGCCGCGGTCGCCTCGCCGGCGGCGGCTCGGGCGTCTCCGCCGCGGAGCGGGGCGTGGACGACACCCGCGGCCTCTTCGCGTCAACGTGGCGGCGTGGAGATGGGCTGGCTGCGTGGCCATCGCAGCCGCGTTTGGAGCGCGCGGCGCACTTGCTGGGCATAGGGCCGCGGGGAAAACGTGGATGGGGAGAGGTCATACAGGCATAGCGCGGCAGGGCAGAGGGGTGCGCATTTGGATACTTAGGTCCAGGCTGGGATCGATAGCTTGGGGGGGCGAGAAAAAGGACAGCCGTGGCCGCCCTCTTCTGTCCTGCCCTGCGCAAGCGAGGCAAAGGGGGGCGAAGCTCTCGCGCCATCCCCGACACTCTCCCGGTCCCAATGCCCCGCGCGCGCTGGGCAGATTTGGGGTGGCGCCAGGGAAAAGGCGAGGACTTTGTGTCCACTGTGCGTCGTTGGCGCGTGGCCGCGTGCTCCTCCTCGGCTTCTCAGACGCCGCTCTCCTCAGGTCGCCCAAGCGCGCGCGGCGATGGTGGGCGACTGCCTCGCGCCACCTCCGGGCGCTTTCTGGGCCCTCATGCACAGCGCACGCTGGGCGGGGCTGGGGAAGCGCAAGGGCTCTGCGCATGGGCCTCGACCCCCCCCCGGGGCTGCGCGTTTGGCCGAACCCTCTTCCCCACCCGCCCACCCAGCGCTCTGGATTTCGGCCGTGCGCGCGCGAGGCGATCGGGCGCGACGCCTTTGCGCCAACCCCGACGCTTTCCCGGCCCATCTGCCCGCGGCTGTTCGGCGGGGCGGGGAGAGCGCCAGGCTGACGGCTGGTGGGCCGGCCCTGTCGTCGGCGTCGCTGGCGCGTGGCCGAGCCCCCTGGCGCATCTCGAGGGCGACGCGATTACATGTGAAACATGTTGTGTAGGGAGACGATCTGCGTCACAGCCGACATTGCGCGGCGAACGCCGCCCACCCCTCCCCCCACACCCCCACAGACAGCGTCGGCGCCGCATCCAAAACAATCCATGCTATGCTACGCCATACTACGGCACCATCATGTAACCATGTGCTGTGCTATGGGACGCCCCGCCATGCGACGCTGGCATGCTACGGTGTCTTGTGTATGCAACGTATTGCAATGCTGCGAGATGAGGCGACAGGCGGGTGCTACGCTACGAGATGCCTTGCCAAGCTCGCAATGCACTGCGTCGCATTGCAGTTGCGCCCCCCACTGGGAGCTTCTTGGCGAAAGGCTCTCGGTGGTAGGCTTTTTTTTTGCGCGGCCGTGGCCGCCTCGCCGCGTCGGCTCCACGGCGCTTCATTGCGCCGCGGAGTGGCCGCGCGACGAGGCGGCCATAATCGCGCGGAAACCCAAGTGGCCATTGTCCGGCCTCACGTGGCGGCCCTTGGGGAAGGGCGCGGGCGCGGCCCTTGACCCGCAAGGGTCGAGGTCGCGTTCGTGCCCCTCGCGAAGGACATTCTGAGTAATTTGGCAAACGCATCGCGGTCGCATCTGCCCAAGACGCGCGCGCGCGCACCCGCGCGCCGTGCGTCGAGCGGCGGGGGCGCCTGGGAAACGCTGAGGAGCGCCTGGGTCGTTCGAAGAGCCCCGGGGAACCTCCGGGGACGCTCAGGAGCCTTCGGGGAGCGCCTGGGCAGAACCCGCGGGCTCGTGTGAACGCCCGGGAGCGTTTGGTGGCGCCTGGCAACGCCTGCGAGCGCCCGGGGGGCGCTTGGGAACGCCTCGGGCTCGCGTTTGGCGGTGCTTGGGGCCTGCTCAAGGGGCGTTCAGGAGCGCCGGGGGCGGGGCGCTTGGGGGCGCTTGGAGGCCCCCGGAGGAGAGCCCGGGCCGCGCCAGAGCCGGCCATGGGGACGCCTGAGAATCTCCTGACGAGCGCCTGGGAGCGCCTGCGGCACAAACACACGCAGGCGTGCTCGGGATTGTATTTTTTGATCGAGGTGGCACGAGTTGGAAGGGCCCATGTGCTCCGCGACAAATATGTGTGCAAGGCCTCCGTGCCGCATGCATGGGACACCGCATTTGTTGCAAAGGATCCCGGCCACATCGGTACAAAACCGTATTTCGTCACATGAGAAAGTGGGGGGCGCCGAGGGGGCAGCATAAAGGGGTGTCCGTAAAAGGATCCCAGGACTGAGATACGTATAGGCTCTTAGTTTTTTGGGTGGGGGTTAGGGTGAAGGTTTGGGGCTTAGGATTCAGATTCGGGTTCGGGGTTAAGGTTTAGGGTTGGGGCTAGGGTTGGGGTTTCGGGCTAGGGTTAGGCCTTGCGGTGGGGGTTAGGGTCAAGACCCCCTCCCCGCCCGCAAGCCGTCTCGCTCACTCCAACCCGCCCTCCCAACATTGCGTCCGCGCCCACTTGGGCTCTGGGCGGGCTGCTCGCGCAACCCTCCCAGACCCCCGACGTCATGATTTTTTCATGACGTCGACCCCCAGAGATCTCGACCCTTTCCCTATGACCGGCTTTGCATCCTGAGTCGTTTTTTGACGCTCCCGAGGCCCGGTGAGGGCCCCAGGAGGCCGAAAATTAGGAAAAACCTCCCGTCGTGATTTTTTCATTACTCGAGGGGGTCTGGGCTGGCAGAGTGCTGCCCCCTGGTTCACGCAGCCATGCCTCGCAAGCGCCCGGCGGCTTCCGGGGCAGCCGACTCCGCGGGCGCGGCGCGGCGGAGGCGGCGGCCGCGCGGGGGCGGGCCCCGCGCCGGGTGACTCGCGCCCGCAGGGCGCGCGCGCCGCGCGGGGGCGGCGCGGGGCGACGCAGCGGTAGGCGACCTGATCAGGGATGCGGGCCGCACGCATGGGAAACCGTATTTTCAAGGGCTCCCTCGAGGGCGCGAAGTTATTCGCGCTTCGCGCTTCGCGGTCCTCGTTCCTTCTCCCCCTCCTCCTCGTCCTCCTATTCTCCCTTTGGGGGGGCGGCGCGAGAGCGCGAAGTTATTCGCGCTTCGCGCTTCGCGCAGCGCGAAGCGCGAAGTTGGGAGCCCTTGTATTTTGGGGGGAAGGGGATTCCGGCCGCATGGTCACAAAACCATATGTCCTACAAGAAGGGAAAGTGGGGGGCGCCGACGGGGCGGCATAAAGGGGAGCCCATAAAAGGGGTCTCAGGGCTCAATCTCGACAAGGCTCCTAGCGACTAGGGTTTAGGATTTAGGGTCCACTCGCCTTTATTCGAAGCCCGCTGGGCGCGCCCCACCCGCCCATGACCCATCACATGCAGAACTCAACGAGTCGAGGACGTCAGTGCGATACGTCATGCGCAGTAGTTGCGCAGCGCCTCAACCCGATGCAGCGGCAATGCGGCGCAGGATCGAAGCGACCAGTGAGTGGCTCCACACAGCAGGTTGCCGACGCATTGGCGATGTGCTGCGCTGGTTCGCGCGCTGCTGGGGGGCTATGAGAGACCTCCCCCCCCGCCCCTCTCTCAGGGGTGGACAGAACCCCCAACAGTGACACGTCGATTAGTGAATTGTCCGTTTTCGGTTCTCGAGAGGGCGCCGTGGTCGTTATTTTCCAGGCTTGCGCCCGCCAGGTTTGGGTCTCAGGTCGTTTTCACTAAACCACGTTTTACTAAAGGGGGGTCTGTCCAGCCCCGACTCTCGCGCTCGTGCCAATTTGGGCTCTGGGCGGGCTGTTCGCGCAGCGCCCGGGGCCTCCGAGGGGGCGCGCAGTGGCGCCAGGGGCGCCCCGGGGGCGCTTGGAAGCCCCCGGGAGGAGCGCCCGGGCCGCGCTTGAACCGCGCTCAGGGAGCTCAGGAAGCGCCTGGCGAGCGCCTGGGATCTCACGAGTTGGGAGGCGCCCACGTGCTCCGCGAAGTATTTTGTTGAGGGATTCGGACCGCACGCGTGGGAACCCGTATTTCGCGCAAAGGATTCCGGCCGCATGGGCGCAACGCCGTATCTTTCACCGGGGAGAGTGTAGGGCGCCGAATGGAGCTCGTAAGGGATCTCAGGGCTTAGATTGTTATAGGCATTTGATTGTTAGGGTTTGGGGCTCGGGTGGGGCTTCGGGCTAGGGTTACAGGTTGAGGTTGGGGGTTGAGGTGGGGTTTCAGGTAGGGGTTTTGGGTTTAGAGGGTAGGGGTTAGGATTGGCGTTAGAGGTTCGAGTTTAGGGTTGGTGTCAGGGTAAGGGTTATGGGTTAGGGTGGGGGTTAAAGTGGGGGTTCGGGTCACGGTTGCGGGTTACTCGAAGCCCGTTGGACGTAACCCGCCAGCCCATGACCCATGACATACAAACTCCACGCGTCGACGACGCTGGCGATGCTTTTGCCAATCAAACAAGAGGACGCATCGCCGATGCTTCGGCGCTGCATCGCCGATTCCAGGTCGCTCCCCCGGAGCTGAGCCCGTGTTGGGGTGGCCATGCCCTCGCGGACACGTGAGGGGCCATTGCCCAGCCTCTACGTGGCGGCCCCTGGGGAAGGGCATTGGCGCGGCCGTTGACCCGCAAAGGTCGAGGTCGTGGCTTGCGCGACAGATGTATTGCGGGCACATCGGCCCAGGGGGCGCGCGCGCGCGCGCCCGCGCGCCGCGCGTCGAGCGACGGCGTCACGCGCCCTGGAGTCGCCCCAGAAGCCTCCAGAGTTCACCGACGCGGAGTGGCGCGCGTTGGAGCGCCTGGAGCGCCCGGGGAGGCCTGGAGCTGCTGTGGCAGCGACTGGGCCGCGCTTGGAAGCGCCTGGGGGACGCTTGGGGATTGTTTGGAAAAGCTCTGGGAACGCCTGGGAGCGCTCCCAAGAGTTCACCGACGCGGAGGGGCGCGCTTCGAGGCGCCCGGAGCGTTTGGGGGAATTTGGAGCCGCTGTGGCAGCTCCTGGGCCGCGCCTGGAAGCGCTTGGGGGACTCCTTGGAAGCGCCTGAGCAGCGCCCTGGGGCCGCCTGGGAGCGCCGAGGGCACCGACGCGCGCAGGCGTGCACAGGGTCGCTTTTTTTTCCGCGCGGGATCGCACGAGTTGGAGGCGCTCCTATGCGCGGCGGAGTTTTTTTTTGCAAGGGATTCGGGCCGCGCGCACGGGAAACCATATTTGTTGCGAGGGCTTCGGGCCACACGGGCAGGAAACCGCATTTTCCCTTCAATGGAAAGTGGGGGCCGATAAAAGGAGCGGCCGAAGGGGCGGCGCAAGGGATTTGCGAGTTTTCCAGTATTTTTAAGTTTTTACTTATTCCGGCTAGGGCCAACGAGCCCCGCTCGAAGCCCGTTGCGCGCATCCCACCCGCCCATGACCCATGACATACATAAACGCAGAAATCAACGCGTCGACGATGCCGGCGATGCTCTTGCCAATCTGACAGGACGACGCATCGCCGATGCATCGGCGTTGCATCGCCGATTCCAGATCGCCCCCTCAGAGCTGAGCCCCCGGCCATGGCCTCGCGAATACCTGGGGTGCTATTGCCCAGCCTTCGCGTGACGGCCCCTGGGGAAGGCGCGGGCGTGTTTCTTAACACGCAAGGTTCGAGGTCGCGCCCGTGCCCTTCGCGAAGGACATTATGAGCGAACATTTGCGCGACCGATGTATCGCGAGCGCATATGCCCAGGGGACGCGCGCGGGAACCCGCGCGCCGCGCGTCGACCGGCGGCGTCACGCGCTCTGGAGTCGCCCCAGAAGCCTCCAGAGTTCATCGACGCGGAGTGGCGCGCTTTGCGGAGCGCTTCGGGGAACCTGGAGCCGTTGTGGCAGCTTCTGATCAGAGCATCCGTTCGGCCCAGGGATGCTTTGCGCTAAGCATTCCGGCGCTTGGTGGGCGCATTGGAAGCGCCCGGGCAGCGCTTGGGAACCGCCTGGGGGCGCCACGGGCACAGACGCGCGCTCGCGTGCACGGCATCGATTTTCGTTTGACCGGGATCGCAAACATTGGAGGCGCCTCCATGCGCCGCGGAACTTGTTTTGGAATGGGCTTCGGGCCGCAT